CAGTGGATAGCTGCCATGGAGTAGGAAATGGCATCTTGGAGATCCACCAGCACCTACGTCGACGCAGTTCCCCTACCTGGGGTGAACGTAGTGGATGGTCGCTGGCTCTTCAAGGTGAAGTGCCCTCCTAGAGAGTTGCCTCTGTTCAAGGCGCGCTACGTGGCTAGAGGCTTTAGTCAGCGTGAGGGGGTGGACTTCTTTCATACTTTCGCCCCGACCCCGAAAATGACTACTCTTCGGGCACTGCGACATGTAGCAGCACTGCGTGACTACGAGTTACACTCCCTCGACTTCTCCACTGCGTTTCTTTGGGGCATTTTACACGAGCAGGTCTACCTGCGTCGTCCTCAGGGTTTCACTGGTACCTTCCCTCCTTGGACCCAGTGGCTCCTGCGGGCCCCAGTCTACGGCTTGCCCCAGGCACCCCGCGAGTGGCACGACACACTGCGTGCTACCCTTGCAGACCTGCAATTCTCTCCGTCCTCTGCAGACCCCTCGCTCTTCGTTCTGGCCAGACTCCGTTCTACATCCTTGTTGACGTAGATGATCTGGTCTTGGCCACTGCAGACACCACCGTGCTGGCCTTTGTGAAGGCTGAGCTGCTGAGGAGATGCACCTGCACTGAACTAGGAGAGCTGCGCCACTTCCTGGGCCTGCAGATCTCCAGAGACAGAGCAGCGCGCACCATCTCTCTCACCCAGTCTCACTTGGTGCACAGCCCACACCTCTTGCAGTCGATCACCGGCTCTCTACTCCAGTTCCTGAGGAGTCAGCAGAGCCCAGTGGTCCTTACGCAGAGCTGGTGGGTTGCCTCATGTACCTGATGACTTGCACTCGTCCAGATCTCGCATACCCTCTCAGCATCCTGGCTCACTTTGTGGCCACAGGCAAACACAGACCTCAGCACTGGTCTGCTGCTAAGAGGGTTTTGCGTTATCTCGCGAGTACATCAGACATGGGGTTAGTGCTGGGAGGACGCAGGCCAGTGGTCCTTCCTGGGCACACAGACGCTTCTTGGGAAAACGACGCCGAGACCCTTAGGTCCTCACAGGGCTAGTGCTTTAGCCTTGGTTCAGGTGCTGTCTCGTGGAGAGCTACTCGTTCTTCGTCTGTTGCCCAGTCCAGCTGTGAGGCCGAGATCTATGCCGGTGCCATGGCGGCACAGGAGCTCTGCTGGCTGACCTTCTTGCCCACTGACTTAGGTGAGCAGCCTAGCTCTGCCCCGGTCCTGTACGCTGACAGCAGGGCCATGATCCTTTTGTGTCAGGAGCCTCGACTTGAGGGCAGAGCGAAGCACATCCAGTTGCGGTACTTCCTCTTGCGCGAGCTGCAGCAGCGTCGCCATGCCCGCGTAGTACACTTGGCCTCCAGTGCCAACACAGCTGATATCTTTACGAAGGCGCTTGCGCCTAAAGATCATCAGCGGCACTGCTTACAGCTTGTTCTTGTTCCTGTTGCCTCACACTTGCTAGGACCTTGACTGTGTACAGACCTTATATATATGTATTACCCAGACTGGCCTTGTGGCTTCTCCCAGTGGTTGGAATAGTAGTGCCGCCCTGGTCTTGCTCTTGTTTTGTCTGTACTCCTTTTGACTGGACTTTAGACCCTTGCCTCAGAGGCTGGACTAGTTGTGCTGCCCTGAGCTATTTGTTCTCTTGTTAGGCACTGCCCCTATTTTGTCTAGGGGGTGTGTCAAATGTATCTTAGTAAACAACCGTAGACTATACAGGTTTGTACCTTAGTGGGTACAACTCTCTAGCTTATATTATCTTGTACCCTCCTATTCTATTCATTATTCTTAGTATGTACTACACACAAGTACTACACCTAAACTAGATAACACTGGGTAATAAGATCCGAGCGTACTAGAAGCATCAGGATACAGAGAATGCAGGGCAGAACAAATATGATCCATGTGTAACTCAAAGACAGGCACACCATGGCGACGGAAGAGGTTGTCGAGGCGGCGGAAGCAGCGGACGGTTGGGTGCGGGCGACGACACACAGTGCCGTGGAGGGGGCCGGTCTGGAGCTGGTACTAGCAGCTCACAGCACTGAGGCTGTCAGCCAACGCCGAGCTGTGAGGGCCGCCACCGCGGCCACCACCGCCAGAGGCTCCTGGCCACCCCGGCGGGAGGCGGGCCCACGACTGCTCCTGCTGCAGCTGCGACGGCTGCTGCTGCGGCGACTGCGGCTGCTGTTGCTCCTGGGCACTAGCTCCGATCCCCTCATCGAAACCACTATCCCCGCCACCACCACCACCACCACCACCACCAGCGCCACCACGCCCTTCCTTGGGGCCACGATGGCCCCGACGCGGGCGCGGCTGCGGGGACGCCGCAGCTGCGGTCTCAGCGGCAGGGGCAGTCGCGACAACCATGGCTGAAACCTCAGTGTACCTGCACTGGGAGGGCACACAGCCCTGAAAGATAGGGACTGCCACAGTACCGCTCGACTAAGCGATAGTGTGCTGGCGAGTCTTTATCTCAAACTGGGCGGTGACAAAGGCACTAAGGGTGAGGTCACATGGGTACTGACTAAGGAAGTGGTCGCAGGCATTGGCTAAGCAGCCCGAAAGGCGCATGGCAATGAGGTACAGGGTAGCGCAGAACGGCGGGGGGAAGGCAGTGAGCTGGGCGTCAGTGCTAGCGGCGCGGTAGCTAGACTCTATTGCACGAAGGTGAGTGGCTAGGTCAGCAACAGTGAGGAAAGCGGCAAGATCAGGGAACAGTATAGGGAGGATCAGGCGGCTAGCAGAGGCGGAGGCGGGCGTGGAGTAGCACGCAACAACTGCATCTAAGAAATCCTTGGCATTCGCGACAGCAGTGAAGCGAGGACGCTCAAACAGGGGAAGAGAATAACTAATGGCTAGCTGCGCTACGGCATCGCGAAAAATCCCAGATAGCGCGAGCAAGCGCAGCAGCAGAAAAGGCCTCATGCTGAGCAGTGGTGGGGTCAATAGGGAGGGGATCAGGCGCGGGGGGTGGGGAAGCAAGCCATCAACATGCACAGTCAGGGAGTGCCCATTCTGGCGCTGACCTATGAGGTGACGGCGTAGATCGACAAGCCAAGCAGCGAAGTCGAGTGCGTGCCCCTCCGCGTCCAGGCGGAGTACAGAGTCCACCATCGTGCGACCTCAGTGACACAGCTCCACGGCGGCATGGCGGCACAGCGATACAGCGACATAGCTATACAGTGGCATAGCGACACAGCGACATAGCGGCACAGCTACGCAGTGGCACAGCGGCAGAACTCCCCGGCAGGAAGACCGAGCGGAAGACCGAGCGGGGCTTACAGGGCTAGTGGCGCGTAGAAGGACCGGCTGGGGCTCACGGGGCCAGCAGAGCGCGATGGGCCGGTAGAGCGCAAAGAAGGCCGGCGAGGCGCGATGGGCCGGCGGGGCTCGAAAGGGGCGGTGGGGCGCTAGGTTCCGGCGGGGCGCTAGGGCCGGCGGGGCGTTAGGGCCAGGCGGGGCACGGAAGGGACCAGCGGGGCGCGAGGGTTGGGCGGGGCGCGAGGGGACGGCGGGGCGCGTAAGGGACCAGCGGGGCTCAAGGGGCCAGCGAGGCGCTAAGGGACCAGCGGGCGGGCGATGAGTCGGCGGGGCACTAAAGGGACCAGCGGGGCACGAAAGGGACCAGCGGGGCATGAGGGGCCGGCAGGGCGCTAAGGGACCAGCGGGCGCACGAGGGGTCGGCGGGGTGCTAAGGGCCGGCGGGGCGCTAGGGCCAGGCCCGCAGGAGGGACCAGCAGGGCGCGAGGGCCGGGCGGGGCGCGAGGGGCCGGCGGGGCGCTAGGGCCAGGCGGGACGCGTAAGGGACCAGCGGGGCGAGGGACTAGCAGGGCGCGCTAACAGGGCTGGCGGGGCGCTGAGGACTAGCGGGGTGCGCTAAGGCCAGCGGGGCGCGCTAAGGGAACGGCGGGGCGCTAGGCTAGGGAGAGGGCGGAAGCGGGTGGGTGGACCTAACCTACTATGATACCATCTCATAGTAGCAGAATGAACTGGAGAACAGAATACATGGTGGTTTTGACCTAAAATGTTGTACTCGCAAGGCATGACCCTATGTAGTCTACAGCAACATATACAAATATGTTTGACAGCTTCAATGCCTCATTGCTTGGATTATGTCACATGTACCCTCGTGTGGCTAAAAAATTAACTGCGCTAAGAATGCCTGATTTTAAGTGTATGATTCAGTAGAGGCGGAAACTTATTACATTCCCTATACTTCCCAAACCCTATACTTCATAGGCCTGAACCTTATACTGACATAGTAAAAAATGTATATATTAGCCTAAAACCTGTACTTCACCATGACCGCACAGCCAAACGGAGATGAATCATGCTCAGTACAACTATAACCGAAACAGCTTTATCCCTCTAGCACGTTGCCTGACCAGAATTGCGTATGCTCGTCCAAATAGTTAATACTCGATTCATTTCTTGAAAAGTAACCCGATTTATCCTCGTTTGGATTTCTCGAGGACACGTGCGCGAAATTGACGTAGCTCGGGAAGCTCGACACATGTGAATGCACACGAACCCCAGTCAGTATTTGTTTACAATTCGGTGACGTTAGGCATACGTTTTGGTATCGGTGGACACGTGTGGCGCTTTGGGGTTTCGCCAAGACGGGCTTGGCGAGAACAAGGCGACCTCGCGAACATCCCGTGTGGCGCAACGCCAGATCGCACCTGCCACTTAACCCAGCACGAAACATCTGTTTTCGCGAGCTGCCACATTTGGTAACTGCGATTTGGGGCCTCTGACCCGCACCGTTTCTTGGGACGCGCCCAGTTGGCGCCAGCTTCTGTTTCAGTCGCAATATGAGACGCGGTTTGGGGGGGAAACGATTTTGGGATCGTTTTCAGTTGTCGTACCCGAGTTCGTAAAAACGGGTCTAAAACCCCCAACTGAACTATTTGGACCCGCCCTGACCAGCACTCGAGGAGTGAGTTTTCAAGGCGAACAGTCCAAGCACGAACTTCCCGAGTTTACGAGGCTGTGTCGACAATCCATGGCTGCCACATTATCTAACACAGCACGGGGGTGTCTAAAGTAGCCGAGGGTCTCCGATTCGCGGCTGAAACTCGGCCATGGCTCATTCCTATCGTCCCTTTTTTAAGATTTCTTGAAATTTTGAAATGCGAAACATCAATGTACCCTGCCTCCAGTGCCCATCTCCATTCGGATGGTGCATGACAAGTATTAGGCGCAGCGCGCTCGTCCCCCCACTCACTATGCTCTTCTTCCTCCTCGCAATCCTGGACGATCCACCTCCCAAGGCCACCATCTCCGTCGTAATCTCCTCCTCTCCCTTCTAATCTCCTCCTCTACCTCGTATCTCCTCACCTCTCTCCGAATTCTCCGCTACCCGCGCTACTAGCGATGGACTACTCCCTGCCCGCTCGTAAGCTGCTCCTCTCTGACGTCAGCGCGTGCCGGATTGTCCGGCGAGCGAACGGGCAACCGCTGCTGCAGGTGTGGCATGAGGGGAGTGAGGGAGGAAGGGGAGGAGGGGGAGGGTGGGGGGAGTGTAAGATGAACCTGAATAGGAAGGAAGGGAGTTGATGCGCCATTGGTAGGCAATTGATTACTTGAGGCGCTATGCAGACACTCATGTTACATAGCACCATGGTCTTTCAAACGCCATTCACCTGTCTCTGCATGACCACGTCATCATGTCCACGTCATCGTGTCCACGTCAGCATGCCCACGTCACCACCCTGCTGCCATGGTCTTTCGAACGCCATTCACCTGTCTCTGCATGACCACGTCATCATGTCCACGTCATCGTGTCCACGTTATCGTGTCCACGTCAGCATGCCCACGTCACCACCCTGCTGGCGAACGGCGTCCCAAATACCAGAGTCAGAAATACGGAGTAGGTATATAGTAGGTAGGGCATAGCATAGGTACGTCTGCTACGGAGTAGCCTTGCTATACGAACAACTATACCTACAATATAGGTGAGATCCACATTTTTCAATCCGGGGTTGAATCCACAGTGAGTGCGGATTCAGGGCGCCATTTAAAGCCCTGGCGCATTGCCTCCTGTTTCAGTCACACGAGGGACTTCGTTCCCACAGGTGACTTGACGTTCTGATTATGTCTCTACCGTACACCTCAGGTGCAGGGCATGCAACTGCAGCGGGTGGGGGCCCATGAAACTCCAGGGCGTTACAATTCAGGGCAATTCGTTCCCACTCGGGTCTAAATTTCTCTACCATACCCCTCAAGTTTTGAGGCGCCTCAAAACTAGCCTCCTATTACCATACCCCTCAAGTGCAGGACATGATACTGCAGCGAGTGGGGGGGTCCAGGAATTTTTTTAGGCGCCTCAAAAATAGACTCCTCACGCGTGGGGGGGTCCAGAAAATTGTCCGAAGCCCCGATGGTCGGATTGCCCTCTCCTACAGTCTCACAACACAAGGAACTTGATTTCTTCTCAGCTCCGTTTTATCTTTCGCTTCCACGCCCCTACAGGTGAATGGCTTGACACTACAGCGGGTGTGGGTGCAGGGCATTCTCAGAAGCCTCGTTAAATTGCCTTCTCCTATAGTCACACTGGTTTCTTCTCAGTTCCGTTTTATCTTTCTCTTCCACGCCCCTACAGGTGAACGGCTTCACGCTACAGCGGGTGTGGGTGCAGGGCATTCTCAGAAGCCTCGATGCTGCGTCCCCAGCTACTGGCACGCAAGGGATGCAGGGTGGGGAGGTGCCTACTGGGGGTGGCGGATCTGCTGCTGAGGGGAGGTTGTTTCTGGACGATGGGAGTGCAGCCGTTGAGATTGTTCCTGCTAAAGGGGGGTCTCCTCCTCAAGTTGGTGCGTTGTTCTCTATGGGGTATGCGTGTTTACATGTGTGTGAATTCAAGTGGGCGATTCTAAGTTGGTGCTTCTGAGGGTAACTAGTTATTTTGGGGTTCTTCACGATGAAAGTGCCGTGGTTGAGATTGTTCCTGCTAAAGGGGGGTCTCCTCCTTTGTCGGGTTTTTCTTTTAATGGATTCAATTGGCTCGCCTGGTTGGAATATGTATTTTCTTTACTTTTGTGGAAACCCTTATGTGCATACTTGTAACTGAAGAGGGAAGTGGTCTGCTTTTATGTTCTCATATACACCGCTTAATCTGTGTGTGTATCACTTCTGCGTCTGTGCGTGTGTGTATGTGTACACGTGTCTGTACACGTGTCTGTACACGTGTCTGTACACGTGTCTGTACACATGTGTGTACATGTGCGTGTGCGTTTCTGTGTGCCTGCCGCATGTGCAGGCTCGTATGTTCAAGTCATAGGTGCCCTGTGCACCCGCCCGGCTTCTCCACCATTCATCAAGGTAGGTGAGCCCACAGCCTTTCAGTAAGTGAGCGTATGTATGGAAGTCTGTGGATAAATGTGTGTGACTGTGCACACGCGCATGTGCAGGCTTGTAGTTTTGAAGTCATAGGTGCCCTCTGCACCCGCGTCCTGCCTCCCCAACAGTCGTCGAGCTGACCTGACCGCATGAGGGTGACACCATAGCCCTCCTCTGACTTTTGAGTCGACTAAAAAATTCCGTGTGCCATTGTAACGAGGTGACTTTTGAGTCAACTCAATGGTGACCGACCGCATAAGGGCAACACCATAACCCTTCTCTGCACCATATCCTTGTCACCTCCTGGGGGTCACCTTGGTGAATGATGGCGAATGGTGTTACCATCCGAAATGGTGTTACCGTCCGAAATGGTGTTACCATCCGAAATGGTGTTACCATCCGAAATGGTGTTACCGTCCGAAATGGTGTTACCATCCGAAATGGTGTTACCATCCGAAATGGTGTTACCATCCGAAATGGTGTTACCATCCGAAATGGTGACACCATTCGCCACAAGGCAAAGCCCTTCTCTGCACCATTACCTTGTCACCCCCGCCCTCTCTTCCTCCCTCTCTCCAATGCTCTCTCTGCTCTCTAACCTTTGCTCTTTCACTCTCTCTCTCCCTCTCCACTGCTTTCTTTGCCACTCGCAAACCACGAGCTCACCATCCCTTATCTTACCCTCTGCTGTCGTTTCAGGTGTGTTTGCGCTCGTTGTCTGAGGATCCTCATCTATCCTCCCCGCTCCATCTTCCCCCACCCACCCACTTCCCACCACCCTCTATCTAACACCCTGCTGTGCTCTCTGGTGCACAAGCAATCATTGTCTGACGATGCTCATCTTTCCTCCATGCTCCATCGTCCCCTCCCACTTCTCGCCACCCTCTACCTTACCCCTGCTGTGATCTCAGGCGCGCAAGCAATCGTTTTCTGAGGATGCCCATCTGTCCTCCACGCTCCATGTTGCCCCGGTGATCTCAGGTGCACAAGCTCGTTGACCTGTCTGCTCACCCCAACAGGGAATCCCTGTGGTTCCTCGAGGTTATGGAATCGCACATGAGGGCCCATGCCATGTCAAGCACATGAAGGCCGGTGCCATGCCAGGCACATGAGCGCCCATGCCATGCCAGGCACATGAGCGCTCCCCTCCCACTTCTCGCCACCCTCTACCTTACCCCTGCTGTGATCTCAAGCGCGCAAGCAATCGTTTTCTGAGGATGCCCGTCTGTCCTCCACGCTCCATGTTGCCCCGGTGACCTCGGGTGCACAAGCTCGTTGACCTGTCTGCTCACCCCAACAGGGAATCCCTGTGGTTCCTCGAGGTTATGGAATCGCACATGAGGGCCCGTGCCATGTCAAGCACATGAAGGCCGGTGCCATGCCAGGCACATGAGCGCCCATGCCATGCCAGGCACATGAGCGCTCATGCCATGCCAGGCACATGAGGGCCAGTGCCATGCCAGGCACATGAGGGCCCATGCCATGCCAGGCACATGAGTGCGTGACGGCTCGTCTGATTAGCAGCTGCGGTTCGCCTCCTCTCTCCAGCCATTTCGTAACCACTAACTCACGTGTACTTTGAGTCGACTCAAAATACACCCAGATACATGCCCAGCATATACGATGCCATGCCATCCACTGCTGAGCTCTCAGGTGCACAATTTTATTGACCTGTCTGCTGACCCCAACAGGGAATCCCTGTGGTTCCTCCAGGTTATAGAACCGCACATGAGGGCACGTGCCATGTAAAGCACATGAGGGCCCGTGCCATGTCAAGCACATGACTGCATGACGGGCCGTTTCTTTCCTCTGGGTGGCGCATGCACTTCCGAGCCCCCCTACTTCTGGAGCTTTAATTGTTCACATTGTAATTTTTTCTGCAACGAGTAAAAACTCAGTATTTTAGGACTTGTACATGTGAGTGAGTGACCTTTGACCTACCATGCTGGCCTACTCTTAGCGAGACAACAATTTCAATTCGACTGTATCGAAGCGAGCAGAAATGGAAGGGATGCAGCACATCAGGCGTAACCGGCGCGTTTCGTTATTCTTTTTGTAAAGGGATCTAGTAGGTTAACTCGCGGTCAGGAACGGTACTTGCAGATCACCGCTTTGGAAATCCGCGCACCAGACCGCACCGTACAATGTGAATTGTAAACACAACCCGGGGGACAGCCCTGAGTGCACGAAGATCTCAGCCGCAAGTGGCACAAGATGATTGCATTTTCGTACATCGTGTGAACGAGATTCGCTGAAGCCCGCCGTGCGACGGAGTCAGAGTCGTAATGCCCGTGCGATCCGTCAGGCTCGCCGCCATGATCTCCTCTCAGATTCTTAGCGCGCGTTCTTATAGCGGGGCCACGTTACCCGTCGTCCAGAGTTGTCGCAGCGGATTGGCGAAATCGCACAGGGATTTTAATGGTGACCGTCGCATAACATCGTCGCATGGATCCTTGGCGACGAGCTGCGATCGACGGATTCTTAGCCTAAGTCGAGCGCAGAAGCAGGAAGTTACCTGGAATTTACGGCGCCCTGAGTCTTCATCTGTGCGAGCGTCGCATACGTCTTTGCGAATTCCGCTGCTCTCGTGCGAATCTCTGAATTTCGCAGGGTTACATCCAACTTCTGCCAATTATCGAAGAATCATCATTGTGCGTGCAACCGGAGCGTCCTATGAAGTGCCGGCCGGTGCTGCTAATAGCGGGGATGTTGAGAACTTCTCGTTTCCAAAAGCACCGCTGTTTATGAAAGCGCCGGTGGTGACTGGATTCGGGCGCGGGAGCAAGCAGATGGGCATTCCGACAGGTAATGATTCCCCTCCTTCCCGCTTCCCCTCCTCCCCGCTTCCCCTCCTCCCCGCTTCCCCTCCTCCCCGCTTCCCCTCCTCCCCGCTTCCCCTCCTCCCCGCTTCCCCTCCTCCCCGCTTCCCCTCCTCCCCGCTTCCCCTCCTCCCCGCTTCCCCTCCTCCCCGCTTCCCCTCCTCTCCCTTCCCCCTCCCCCCCCTGCTCCCCCCACCCCCCTTTTCTCCCTCCTTCTCCCCACACCACCCGGCGTGTACCTTGAATGCTAGGGAGAATGGGTCTCTAACAACCCACTCAAATCTTTCTCCACCCCTCCATACCCCTTGCACCAGCCACCATGTTACCAGACGTGCTGAGGGACCCGCTAGAGGGCATGGAGAGAGGCGTGTACTCTGGATGTTTGGGCAAATGAGAAGAGTCTTATTCCAATCGCTCTCCACCCCTTTATACCCCTTTGTAACAGCCAACGTGCTGCCAGACGTGCTGAGGGAGCAGCTAGAGGGCATGGAGCGAGGCGTGTACTTTGGATGGGCCAGACTGCCAAGAACACTGATTCTACCTTTCTATGTGCTTCCCCTCCCCCCTGTACCCCTTTGTAACAGCCAACATGTTACCAGATGTGCTGAGGGAGCAGCTAGAGGGCATGGAGCGAGGCGTGTACTTTGGATGGGCAAGGCTGCCACACTTGGAGGGGAAAGGAGAGGTGGATGGGGGGGCGGAGGAGGAGGATAGGGGCCAGGGAGAGCCGCAGGTGTTTAAGATGGTGCTGAATGTCGGCAGGCGGCCGACGTTTGTTGACGGGGATGACGTCACCGTGGTATGTGGTGGGGATGACGTCACTGTGTCTGTTATGTTATGAGGATGACATCCCTCTTTGGGGTACCCCATAAATCCTCACTGCACAATTCCCCTCCAACATTTTCTGGCTGCAATCTTTATGATAGCGATGCTTTTGTGACTTTAATCTGCTGCTTTTCATGTGATTCTCCCGTGATTCTCCTGTGATTCCCCTGTGATTCTCCTGTGATTCTCCTTTGATTCTCCTGTGATTCTCCTGTGATTCTACTGTGATTCTCCTGTGATTCTACTGTGATTCTCCTCCCGCTGCAAATTTTTTTTGGAAGTGTGTGTTTCCCTGGCAAGCAGCGTGTAACATGCCATTGATCGCTTATTTCTTTACTCCCTGCTCCTCTGCATTGTTCCAGCGGACTCGTGACAGGAGGTGGGCTACACTCAATCCTCGTTTGAGGACTCGGTTGATTGTGTTATTACTATGGTACTCCCTGCTTCTCTGCCTTATCCTCATACTTTCTCGGCAGGAGGTGCACATTCTATCCTCGTTTGAGGATGATTTCTATGGCGAGGAGCTGCAAGTGGCTGTGGTGGGCTACATTCGACCAGAAAGGAAGTTCTCCTCACTTGGTATGACACCATTTTTGCATTTCATCCTTGGTACTTCGCCTTGGAAAACCCTCCCAAGCCCCCCCTCCCCGTCGCCCCTCCTCTTTTTCTCTCCCTCCCTCTTTCCCTCCCGTTCTCCCTTTCTAACGATCCAACTTGCGCTGCTCTGATTTCTCCCCACACACCCCGCTGCATATTGCCCTTACTCAACTGTTGCTTTTGGTCCTCCAACGCTCCTTTCTTCCCTCCTCCGTGCTTTTGGGTTCCATTTGCTCCTCTAAAAAGTGTTTCGCTTGCTCGGGCATTGGAAACATCTCCTCCACTCTTGTTTTGGAATTTAAGTGCTGATGATTACCGGTATCAGTGCAGAAAGTACCCCGGTTGTAGTGATCCATTGATTCCCCACATTTAGTTAAGCTTCCCATCCTCATGTAACCCACCTCTGTTTGTGTTCACTTCATCCCCTTCTCCCATAATGCCTCTTTCCTGGATATCCAGATGACCTCGTTGTACAGATCAAGTCAGACATGTCAGTAGCTACAGAGCAGCTGGACAAGGACGCATTTGCACCATTTGCAAGGGACACATTCTTTGCATGAAGATTCTCATTTGTGTACAGAGTTTTATTCCTAATCTCAAGCTGTGTATTTTGTAGGGAAATTGCACCATTCTACAACTAATGGAAGTGATGCAAAAGCAGCACACTACTTGCAGCCAGGTCAGATTAAAGCAGCAGCAGCTGCCATGAGAACCTGCGTCAGCATCAGTTAACCATGACTCTGACCCTCGAGCCCATGTACCTCATTTCTCCCCTGCTACTCATTTCTCTTTCAGCTTGTCATTCTCCTCAGCGCTCTCCTCCCCCTCACCACCCCCCTTGCCTCCCTTCCCCTTCTCCTTCCCCTTGCCTCTCCTCACAAGCCCTTCCTCCGACACCCCACGCACCGCTGCGCCACCACCATCACCACCAGCTGCACCAGTTGCACCCTCCTCCCCTGCCCTCCCCTCACTGCCCTCAGCAGCACCAGCGGCAGCAGCAGCAGCAGCAACTTCTGCCTCAGCAGCTGTCAGCCTGTCTGTTTCCGTACCGTCTGCTGTAACAGAAGAACCAGCTGCAGCACCAGCAACTCCCTCGGGTTCGCCTCCGAATCCAAACTCGTTGACGCGCTTCTTATCGACGGGATAGATCCAGCGCTGGTACAGGAAGATGAGGAAGATGATGTCTGGGAAAGGGGAAGGGAGGCGAATAGGGAAGGGAAGAACAAGGGAAGGCACAGCAGAACAGAGAAGGTTAGACGGCTGCTTTTGAGTTGAAACGATAGACCCAACGTTGGTACAGGAAGCTGAGGAAGGTGATGTCTTGGGAAAGGGGGGGGGGGACGGATAGGGAAGGAAAGAACAAGGGAAGGGGAAGAACAGGGGAGTTGACGCGATAGACCCAAGGTGATGTCTTGGGAAAGTGGGGGGGAGACGGATAGGGAAGAAAGAACAAGGGAAGGGGAAGAACAGGGGAGTTGACGCGATAGACCCAAGGTGATGTCTTGGGAAAGGGGGGGGGAGGCGGATAGGGAAGGGAAGAACAAGGGAAGGCACAGCAGAGTAGGTTAGACGGCTGCTTTCGAGTCGCAGAAAAGCAGTCTGCTTATCTACGGGGTGGATCCCGCATGCCGGCACAGGAAGATGAAGAACGCAATGTCTGAGCAAGGGGGGGAGGTAACGTGCGTAGTTTAGGAAGAACAGAAGTGGGGCCCAAAAGTTACTCGTAAGGAGCCTCAAGAACAGAGGCGCAGTAGGAGGCTGAGTGATGTGGCAGAGAACACACGGCCAGCAGCAGTACGGCACCAGCTGTGAGAGTCTTTGCACTGCACGATGTCGGCCGGCTGTAATGAGTCGACTCAAAAATCGACTCATTACAAAAGAATTTTGAGTCGACTAAAAAATAGGAGTCTTTGCACTGCACAATGTCGGCCGGCTCTTTGTAACGAGGTGGCTTCTGAGTTGACTCAAAAGTATTTGCACTGCACGACTTTTGAGTCGACTTTTGAGTCACCTCTTCTTTGCACTGCACGATGTCGGCCAGCTCTTTGCTGCGATGATCTCATGACATGCCATCATGCTCCACATCAAACACATTTCACTGCACCTTGCCGGCCGGCTCGTTGCCATTTTCGTCTCATGCCATGCCACCATCCTCCATGCACGTCACCAATCTCATCACATACCATGCTCCACTGCTTACCGTCTCGAAAGACAGCGAGTCGGAGCAGCGCAGTGCAGAGCAGAGTAGTGTGGTCATCTTCTTTTCAAAGGCTTACAGGTCATCCATGATGGAGTTAAGAAGCATACCATAAAAGAACTGCCAGGCCCTTCACGCGCCATCCAACAGTGCCACATCCATAACCTACCGTCGCCTGCTGCGTACCATCCCAGAGGACAGACAGTGCCGATGCAGCCTGAGCACGTGATGACCAAGTCAAAGAGGCCGCCCATGATGGTGTTGAGGAACTTACTATCACATACCATCACAGCCAACACACGGCTACATCAAGCACTGCCACACACATCACAGCTGCAATCCTCTACTGCTCACCATCCCTGAACACGGAGAGCCGGTGCAGCGTGGGCATCTTGATGACAAATGCAGACAGATTTTTTTTTTTAGGCGCCTCAAATGCAGACAGATTTTTTTTTTTGAGGCGCCTCAAATGCAGACAGATCGACCACGATGGTATTGAGGAACTCGTACGTCATCTGGACCATGGCAAGCGCGCCACTGACTGTGCACCATCACACCCACTCATTCATCCCCCGTGCCATCTTCCTACAACAACGTACCATCTCGGAACACAGACAATCGGTGCAGCGTGGGCATCTTGATGACAAACGCGAACAGGTCATCCACAATGGTGTTGAGGAACTTGTAGGTCATCTGGCGCCATGGCAGGTGCGCCACAGACTTGAGCTTGTAGTTGATGAACAGCTGCGGGCACATCATGATGAAACCTGGTGGTGGTTCAAAAGAAGAGGAAATAATAAAAGAAGCAAAAAAAGGGCAGGACTGAGATCAGAGACTCTATTGCCAAGACGAAAAGGAAAAAACCCAACAGAATGTGACAAGCTGATCAAATGTGTGGACGCAGCCAGTTAGCGAGTTGAGCACCCGCGAGTACTAACTCTTGCGGGTTTCATACACCAGTGAGTACACAACATAGCCGGCCACGAGCAGGTAGAGCAGGTAGAGCAGGTAGAGCGCGTGGAGCGAGTAGAGCAGGTAGAGCGGGTTGAGCGGGTAGGAAAAGTAGCGCATGGGAGAGGAAGCGAGTGGCGAGACTTACCAAAAGTATACACGCAGCCGGTGAGCGAGTTGAGCACCCACGAGTACCAGCTCTTGTGTGTCTCATACACTAGTGAGTAAATAGCATAGCCGGCAACGAGCGGGTAGAGCACGTAGGAGAAGTAGCGCATGGCGAGGGCGTCGTACTCCTTGGTCTTGTTGCGAGCATACGAGTCCCGGTCTCGGAACCGCAGCCACGGGATTCTGCCCGATCCATCAATCTGATAGGGGTGGGCGAGGAGGGGAAGAGAGGGAGGAGAGATTAGGCGATAAGGATCATCAGCTGTCACACGAAGCTCATACCTCTTCTCCCCCACCCCGCCCCCCAATCCCCTCACCTCCACATGCATGGCCTTGCCAATCTTCCAGAATTCAATGCCACAGGAGATTGCGGCAGAAATGAGGATGAGCCACGAGGTGTGGTTGTCCAGCAGGTAGAGGAAGATGATGAGCTGGCACACAAAGTTGATCACCACTGAGCGCGCCGACAGGCCCTCCATGGACTTGTTCTGGTTCCAAAACTGGATGTCTGGGGTATGGGGGGGGTGGGGGGGTGGGGGGGAAGAGGGAGGGAGCAAGGTGCAGAAATCCAAGTTGGAGGAGTCGACGAGGCAAGTGCAAGGAGATGTGAAGAAGCCATGTGATCCAGCTACCTTGCCTGGAACTTGCAAAGAGATTCTGAACAGACTCGTTTTGGGTCTTATGAGGCTTACACAGGCTTGTGAATAGCTATCGAACATCTCAGAGAGCACACTCACCGTTTTTGAAGGCGAAGAAGTCGAAGACGGAGTGCAGGATGGAGACCAGCACTGTGTCGCCGAGGAGAATCGGATTGCCCTTCAGGAACACCCTTTGGTGGGTGCGCGGGTTAGCGCAGCAACAGGCCCGTCAAAATGCACACTTACCATTCTTGAAGGCGAAGAAGTCGAAGACGGAGTGCAGGATGGAGACCACCACTGTGACCCCGAGCAGGATAGGATTGCCCTCCAGGAACACCCTCTGAATTTGATTGAGGAATCGGGAACACCACCAGGGGTCAGGAATCGGGATGCGTATGGGAAAGAAAGAGAGAACATATGCTCAGCTTGTTTCCTACAGAGCTTTGATTCAGAAGCACCTTTGGGAGGAGGAAAAGTGGAAAGGGGGGGGAAGCGTGGGGGGGAGAGGGGATGGGGAACACCAATCAATCGGCTGTGCAAGATGTGCAGTTTTCCAACACATCACCCAAACCTCTCGCCCACCTTGAGCTCGTCTGCCTCTGACTCCACGGCCGTGCCGAACTGCTGCTGCAGCTTGAACGACTGGTCCATGGACAGGTAGATATGCCACCGCCACGCCGGCAGCGTCTCCACCACCATCGATAGAGGCACCTCCGATACAGTGCCGTTCAGCTGGGTGAGCTTGTCCCGCAGCAGCCAGAACTCGTTCATGTAGAGCGTGGGGAAGTAATTGCCCGTCTGGGGGTCAAACGTCATGTCTGTTCGCATAATGGAAACGCAGCGGAGAGGGACGGAGGTAGTGGGTGAAAGGCACCTCCAATGCAGTGCTACTGAGCTGGGTGAGCTTGTCCCACAGCGGCCAGAACTCATTCATGTAGAGCGTGGGAAAATGATTTCCCGTCTGGGAGTCAAACGTCAGGTCTGCTCGGAGTGATGCAGAAAAAATCTCAGAGAAGCGTCAGGAAAATGAGTGGGGTGCCATAAGTGCAGTGTTGACTCATGTAGAATCGCACGTGTGAGTTGACACTGCAGTGGGTGTGGGACACTCACGTTTGTGGAAAATCTCGGGAATTGCTGTTCGAGGATACCTGTGGGAGCATAGTGTTTTAAGAAAAAATAAGAAAGAATTAAATTGAGGACGTATAAAGGACTAGCCGAAAGCAAGGACGAATCTCCTCCACTTGCACCTTGTTCCCCTTATTCTATCCAATCGTCATTTATCATCACGCCCAAAAATAAAAACAAAAAAGTCCAGGCAAAATATCTTATCAAAAGAATGCGAAACGAGGAACTTATGTGCACTCACGCAGTGAAGTCGTCGATTAGTGAAATTGTGAGATTTGGCTTCCAAAAGCCAATCCACTCCACCTCTTCTGGTATTGCTGGTGCATCACCTTTCTCACTCCCTGCTTCTGCCTTGGGAGATGGCGGCGGCGGCTGCATGCATTGATTCACAGCAGAAGGATATCCAAATTAATCAGTAATATGGGGGAGGTAGTGGTGGAGGTGAACGAAGGAGGGGGGGGGTGTGGGGGGGGGGAGATGAGGTGCGTGGGGTGCATGTGAACACATGCACGAGCGGGAATCATCATAGTTCTGGTAAGCAAGCAGCCAGAGGTATAGACTGACCTCGCCAGCAGTATCGTTTGCATCTGAGCCCCCTCCCAGCAGCCGCTTCCGCGTGTCCACCTTGGGCCGAGGATAATACGCGACTAGAGCTGCAGGGCCAGACACCGGGAGGACACGAGACAGAAGGAGGGTCGGTAAAGGTCATGAGAGAGGAACCTGGGAAGGCCGGACGGAATAGGGCCAGCGGCCTGAATGCGATGATGTACTGTGCCGCAATGTCAACGACTGGAATGGGACCAGAGAAGCATAGAGGGTCCAGAGTTGTAACGTGAGCAAGGAGGAGAGACGTGACAAGGCGAGGGCGAAGATGGAAGCCCAATAAAACTGCCTGGGAGACAGCTTACGGTGGGTCTTGGAAAAGGTTGAAGATTGATCGTATAACTGGTCCGTTGGGTCTGGAGAAAATCCAGACTTGGCGAAGAAAACATGTGCAAAGACAGTTCCATTGCCCTCTGTGACGGCCTGAGAGGATGATTCCACATGTCCAGACGATGGCAAAAAAAAGGGGGTCAGTCGCAAAAAGTGGAGTCATTTGACACGTATCCAAACGAATCCATAGAGAAGGGATGGAAACACGAAGGCTTTATGGGGTTCAGGGCACAGGGTTCAGAGGAGTTTCACAGAAAACGACGACACAGTCAAGAATCGTGGTCAGATACCTACCTTAGAAGGATAGTAGGTAAAATCAAGGGTCCTTCGTGCAGCAGGACCATCGTACATCGTGTAAGGAATCCCGGACTCCGTCCATACGAGTGCCGACTCGTCTTGGAAATTGCTAAATTTCTCAGCCTCTGTTAAGTAGACCCACATGTCCTGAAAGCGAGGACGATAAGTGTGGCACGGGATGCAGCAACACAACAGACAATTCAGCAGTGTAGCTGCACAAAACAGCAGAACATAACACCTCCCGACAACGACACTACTGCCCTAATGAAGGCTTCGCACGCAAACGAAGGCCGACTTGAAGCAGCAACACGGAATATCCAAGCACTGCCAGCAGCTAACGGTGCTGTCATTCTAGATCTCAAGCAGATACGCGGAAGCATTGGAGAGATCTGAATAAGCCGCCGGTTTCTTTATGAGAGTGCAGATGAAGCGACGACACGGATCGATCTTGAACCTGCCGAAGCACTGCGACACTCACCAGGTCCTCGCCCTTTCGGAAGAGGTTCCGAGAAAGCATGGCTGGATCCTTGGGTGGTTTCTTGAAGAAGAAATTGCTGATCATGTACCAGAACATGGCCATGCGAATCATGGACATGATCGGATTCTGCTGCTGCTGCTGTTGCTGTTGCGGCTGTCCGCCTGCTGCGCCTCCAGCGGCAACAGCCGCTGCACCTGCCGCCGCGACAGCCACATCTCGACGAGGAGGCATGTCGACGACCCACTATACTAAGAAGCTCAGCCAGGAAGTGGATTCGCGAAAGAAAAGGCCAGCCTGACAGAGAGAGTTCAGATCTGAACTGATGAACGCCTTCAGAACGTGAATTCCCAAGTCGGTGAACTTGGTGGGAGGAAGATCGCTCAAAACTGTGCTCAAGGCGGGGAGGAGCATGACGGGGTCAGGAAAATTTGTGTTTTCCGAAACGCTTCTGCTGCCAAAAAACATTCCCAATAAGCTATTTCGATGTTGGAAGAATGCAGAACAGCATGGACATTTGGCACAAATGAACAGAAGGGATATGAACTGGTATATTCGCACATGTACAGAATTGGGGTGGTGAACGCTAAACATTTGTGGCCTCCCTGGCATTCTAGCCAATTTTGGCACAAGCTCCCTCCCTCATGACGTCCCTCACATTCACCATTTCATTTTCCCAGTAGCACTTCAATAAAGTCTTCGTTTCAAGCTTCATCTTGGGAACAGATGCTTGCTCGCTCCTCCCAACCAGCAAGGGAGGAGCTAGAGTTTCGTCGGCGTGCATTGATGTCGGTGTCGACCACGCGATGTGGACGTTCACTCGCAAGAGAGAGTGCTTCTCTGTCTCTGGGTCCGTGTTCTTTCCGTAGCTCGCTCTAGCCGTTGTGTTCGGAGCTTTGACATTCTTATTTTCGCCTTTCCAGGAGCTTGAAACGACGATGCATAGCATCCGCGGCTCCAAGTATTCCTCTCCAGTATTCGGAACGGGAGCTGGAAGATGTCAGACATTACGATAAAGTCTTCGCATCCGCTTGGGTCGACCATTCCACATTCGTTATTGGGACCAAAGACAACAACCTTATCCGATGGGACACAGACACTGGAAAGCAGCTCAAGATTCCTCTTCCAGATTCACCACAACCGAGAACTCACGACCGTCAGGATAACTGTGGTATTCATTCCATGTGGGTTCTTCTGGTTCTTGTTCATGCTTCTTTAATGCTTGACATCACTCTGATTACAAGTCTTTTGAACCCCTCCAGAGCTGTCAGTCCGTCACGCACACTCTTGGCGACTGGAGCCTCGAATCCAGATGATGTCGCCATCTTCAAGCTGCCCTCATTTGACCCTGTGGCTATTCTCCAGGTTGGTTCATTTCGTCGAATGATTGTTGTCAGCGCTTGGCCCCTCAAATTGACCAACACTATGAGGCGTCCTGTGCAGAGTCACGAGAATTGGATGTTTGCTTCCGCTTGGGTTGGGGATACTCACCTGATTACAGGTATGAACTAAACATGTCATGTCTGTTACATATAATTTGCTTGACGAGCTTAATTTACTCTCTTAATGCAGGTTCTCGAGATTCTACTGTGAAGTTATGGTCGATCTGTTCGGATGAAATTTTGAACCAGTCTCCCATAGTTACCCGCACGGATCATGGTGACAAAGTCAGAGACCTGAAGTACTGCATGGATACGGAAGTGGGTTGAAGGAGCTGACAACACTATCATGCTCTTTCTTGTCAGAATGAGGAACTGATTGGTCGACATTCTGTTTGTTGCCAGACACTATCAACATTGAGTCAGGATGGCACGTGCAAGCTGTGGGATCCTCACGAGATGCTGGTGGTAAACACGTTTTTTGTGTGTCACGTTTTTTGTCCTTCGCTGTTCTTCCCTGCAGTTGCCATTGTGCTTTCTTTGCGCTGTGCTCTGTGCAGGTGTCATCTATAAGATGTCCGGATCCAAAGGAGCTGGTTTGCATGGCTGTGAAAGCTCCATTAGTGGCTGTGGGGTCTCAACGGTTCATAACATTTATCGACATGCGCTGTGGTCACGTGGTGAAGTCCATATCATCAGCTGATGAGGGATGGGGTATGTATCACTTCTCTATTCTAAAATTTCCGTAAGTATTTCCATGTACTAACTCCTGCTTTGTTCAGGTGTGCGGTCTTTGAGCTTTCAAGATAATGTTGTGACATGTGGAGGAGGGAAGGGTCGCATTTCTTTTCTTGATACAAGAACTCAGAAGTACATACGAATTCGTAAGTCTTGCCTTTCTGGGAAACAAAAATGGTATTGTGCCAGCATGGTTGTCTCACTGTTCCTTTCTGCCTTTTCCTTCAGGCGAGATGAATGACAGTGCTTGTACTGGGGAGAATCACATGGACACTATAGCTTACTCCACAGGCACAGGACATGTGGTGAGACAAAAATTATGAAGAGCATGTTCTTTCAAATTTATGGAATCTGACTCCGAGTTGTGTATGTGCAGGTGAAGGACCAAGTCTATAATGAGCACTTTGCAGGCCAAGAGATAAAGCATGCTGTGTACACTCACTCTCATGACTTCAGTGGGACCTCTCTGTTGGTTGCTGGAGGCCCTCTTCCATATGGCTTAAAAGGCAGCTATGTTGGTCTCTGGTGAAAGGGTGTACGGTATTTATGTAATTTATTATCCCCTTCTTGCCAATGTGTAGTACACGAAGCAGCCCCTCCACAAATCTAAGAGAACAACATGCAATACATAAAGAGAACGACATTGTACGATGGGCAGGGCAACCATAGTATTGCCATGCAAGCTATGCAGGGCACGATCTAGGTAGTTTGGTAACTTCAGGAAAATATTGCAAGGTGGAATTCAACTCGTTGTTACAGCATGCCATGCTATGTGCCAATACAAGTTTGACTTCACTGTCTGGAGAGCTGAGTACTCAATCATGCTCTGCCCTGTCAATGCATGTGAGAAGAACACAAATGCTAGCATGAAGACTATACAACGGCCTGCCTATCTGTGCCCCCAATTGACACTGGAGAGGGCAGAATGGTCTCTAGATACTCATCAACGTGCACGAGACATGGCCAGTAATCAGTTCGGAACCTGACTAAGGTCGATGACGCTCCAACCTCAAGGCGCATGACCACGTGGAACCGTGGTGGAATGAAAATGAGCACTTGCACGCAGCCCAGGATCCGAGCTTCAGAATCGGCCTCTGCAGCTTGCTGGTTGGCTCCACTGGTGCTCCCAACGGCCGCCAGCCGCACATCTGACCTGTCAACATCACCCATTTCAGCTGCAGCACTACGAGCACTGTCTGCCCCACTACCGTCTGCAAAAGTTGTGCCTAAAACACGTTGCCATGTCCTCACAGTGCGTTTGCTGCTCACAGAAGCACCGCCACACTCATGAATTTCACTACCATCACCAGTCACATGCCTCAGCCTCTCCCCCAGCCATCGCCGCAAGTCCCTCCCCTCCACACCAATGACAAACCGGCCCAAATGCTGCTCCACTGCTCCAATCACCACCTCCAGCGGAACCCCTACAGTGCGGACCGACTCAGGCCGTGCTGCAGGCATGCCCCTGCCATCAAAGGCCACAGCTCCTCCATTCCCCACAGTGATTCCATCCACTCTACTCCCCATCACCTCACCCACTCCATCTGCTCCCCCTCCACTGGAATCTTCCTGCTCCACACCTCCCTTCCTGCCTGAAAGACCCCTCAACTCGCCACCCAGCAGCTCCCACAGAGCATCGAACAACCCCAGCTCCGCATCGTCTTTACCCCCTCTCCCCTCCCCACCACCACCGCCACCGCCACCGCCATCAACCCCATCTCCACCACCTCCACTGCCACTCCTCTCTCTCCCTGTCCTCCCCCTCCCCTTCCCCACCCCTCTCCCGCCCCCCCCCTAGCGAACGGCCAGGGAGCGGGCATGAAGAAATCCTCGATGCCGATGGGAATGCTCGCCAGCTCACCAGTGAGCGTGCGCCCGTCCTGACTCGTGAACGTTACTGTTACCGCCACGAGGATGGGCGCCGGCCAATGGGGCGAAAACTCGATGTCGAAGGGTGTAAGATCAGTGACTGCTTGGTGGTGCGAAGAAGAGGGGGTTGTGGTGAAAACCCCGGTGCTTCTTTCTTCCGTGTAGCTGTCGTCTCCTTCCGTTTCCTCCTCCCCGTCTTCGCTCCCTCGCTCCAATGGTTCTATTTCCCCAGTTGACGGCTTTTCACCCTGACTGAAAACGATAATGCTCATGTCGTTATTAAAACTGCTCCCTTCCTCCGTTCCGCCCTCCTCCTCCTCCTCCCCTTCCTTGTAATCATCATCATCCACCTCCTCCTCTTCGTCCCATTCCTCCTCCTCTTCCCACACCTCTTCCTCCTCCTCCCCCATTTCCCCCTCGTCCCGGGCCATCATGAGGCACGGAATCAGGCACGGCTCAATAGGTCCGGTAAACACCGAGGCTCGGAAACTCAGTTCAACAGCAAATACCCCCACCACCGCACCCATTATCATATCAATAGCCGACGAAGCAGCACCACCACCCATCCCACCACTCACACCACCACCAATACCAGCAACACTCTGGCCCAGTGTGCTTAAATCGAAGGCAAGCTCCTCTCGAGCAGTTGGCAGCAGCTGAAGCATACACGGCACCCGCACCCAGAACCCCTCAGCCTCCTCGTACCCTATAATGTCAACCTCGCTTTTGTCACCTTCCTTACTGGTAACTGCACGTATGATTGTTGCCGAGCCGGCACCGCCCGGCTGTCTCCTTGCCAACCTGGCAAAGTATTCATCCAGAATGGATGCCAGCTCAGCAGTGCGCTTGTCCAGCAAGGCAAGGGCCTGCTGATTCTGCGACCCATACCAAGAAGACCTATGAGACTGACTGGGACTCTGCTGCTGCTGCTGCTGCTGCGGCAACGGCGATTCTATTGACTGGAACTTAGTTGACAAAGCGCGACACTTAGCCCCATTGCTGCTTGAACTAGCAACAACGATTGCGACAGTAGCTGAAGCACGGTCACGCTCACCAGCAGCAGCAGCAGCAGCAGCATCAGCCCTAAAACCATTGTAAATACCACCATAGTGCACATTAGCACTTCCTTCTCCTCCTTCTCCTCCTTCCCCCACCTCTTCCCTTCTCCCCTCTTCTCCATCCCCCCCCTCGTTGCTATCCCTCTCCCCACCCTCCCCCCCTTCCCCTCCCCTACCCTGCACCCACTCCCCTCCCGCACCCTTTTTGTCCGCATCTGAGGGGAAAAGGACGAGCTCCCACGAATCTGGAACAGCCGGTGGTCGGCGCCGTTTGGCCTGTAGCACGCGATTTAGCTGCACTGGGCCTTTGGGCGGCGGGCGGGGGTGAATGGGATCCAATGGAAGGGCGGCAAGGGATGAGCATGAGGTGGAAGAGGTAGAAGTGGTAGCAGTGGTGGAGGTGGTGGTGGTGGTGGTGGTGGTGGTGGTGGTGGTGGTGATGGTTTTTGGTGTCAACTTAGGCACAGAAGTGGAGATGGGAGCAAGATGGGAAGAGGGGAGGGACGTGGTTGCAGTGGCCAGGGGAAGGGCGGGAGCAGCAGAAGAGATGGCTGATGATGCTGATGATGGCGTCGACGATGCAGCAGCAGCCCCTTCGCGTGGCTTGTTCTCTGAACCTTCCGCTGCAGAAGTAGACGCAGCAGCAGCAGCAGCAGCAGCAGCAGAAGCAGCAGCTGCGGCAATAGAAACAGGAGCAGCAGCAGGAACAGGCGCTAAGGGGTTGCCTGTTGGCGCCAGCAGCCCCCCTATGGCTGAAAAGATACCCATCGTCCCTTGACCCCCCTTGCCAGCCACACTACGATCCGCACCACTCGCACCTGCAGCAGCAGCAGCAGCGGCGGCGGCAGCGGCAGCATCGGAAGCAGCAGCAGCACGAGCGGCAGCGGCGGCAGCAGCGACAACAGCCTTGAGGGCGGAGGAGGAGAGGGAGGAGGAGGGCGAGCTGATGACTGCTGCTATCTCTGCAAAGGCTGCTGCATCCGCCATGCTCGCTGACTGAGGCTGGGAGGGCGGTCCCTCTGCTGTGTCTGCTAACAGTCTGTCTGCTGCTGCTGCTGCCGCTGCCGCTGCTGTTGGTGCTGCTCCTGCTCTCGTTGCTGTACCTCCTCCTCCTGCTGCTGTTGCTCTTGCTGCTGCTGAAGCAGCAGCAATTTCGGGGGCAGAGGCACCAGCAGCTGCAGCAGCAGAGGAGGAGGCGAGGGAAAAGAAGGCGCCAGCAGCAGCACCATCAGGGGCATTCATGCCAGCGGGGTGGGGGTGAAACAAGGGAGATGGGAACAGGGGAGCAGGAAATGCTGCAGCAGCAGTGACAGCAGGCAGAGCAGTAGCGGCAGCAGGTGCAGAGGCAGGGGGGCGGCCGGGAGCTGATGGGAGGGATGGGGAGGAGGAGGTTAGGAGGAGGTGGCGAATGATGTGGCCTGGAGCTGAGGTTACGAGGCGGAGGAAAAACCTGTGAGGGGATGTGAGAGACAAAAAGGTTCGGGAATGGGATGTCATGTGAAATTATCTGACTAAGAGGTTGAGCGGAGATGGCGAATGATGTGGAATCGTTGATGTGTTTTGAGACGACCCAAAACACGAGTGATGTGCCCAGCCCAGGTGCTGATGAGATGAGACAGAAACGAACCTGAGAGGGGATGAGGGGAGTGGGGATAGGGATGGGGATGGGGAGAGGGATGGGGATGGGGATAGGGATGGGGATGGGGATGGGGATGGGGATGGGGATGGGGACGAAACACTTATGTCAGCTTGTTGGGATGGAGTGTGGCGGATGGTGTGTGACGGATGGTGTGTGACGGATGGTGTGTGGCGGATGGTGTGTGGCGGATGGTGTGTGGCGGATGGTGTGTGGCGGATGGTGTGTGATGGTGATGAGTGATGCGGTGGCGTATGGTGTGGCCTGGGGCTCAAGTGATGAGACAGAGGAAGAACCAGTGAGGGGGTGAGGAAAGTGCGGATGGGCAAGGGTGGGTTGATATCGGGGTAAAGCAAGGTGCGAGAAGAGGCGAATGAGCAAGGTGCGAGCAGAGGCGAATGAGCAAGGTGCGAGAAGAGGCGAATGAGCAAGGTGCGAGAAGAGGCGAATGAGCAAGGTGCGAGAAGAGGCGAATGAGCAAGGTGCGAGAAGAGGCGAATGAGCAAGGTGCGAGAAGAGGCGAATGAGCAAGGTGCGAGAAGAGGCGAATGAGCAAGGTGCGAGAAGAGGCGAATGAGCAAGGTGCGAGAAGAGGCGAATGAGCAAGGTGTGAGAAGAGGCGAATGAGCAAGGTGCGAGAAGAGGCGAATGAGCAAGGTGCGAGAAGAGGCGAATGAGCAAGGTGCGAGAAGAGGCGCATGAGCAAGGTGCGAGAAGAGGCGAATGAGCAAGGTGCGAGAAGAGGCGCATGAGCAAGGTGCGAGAAGAGGCGCATGAGCAAGGTGCGAGAAGAGGCGAATGAGCAAGGTGCGAGAAGAGGCGAATGAGCAAGGTGCGAGAAGAGGCGAATGAGCAAGGTGCGAGAAGAGGCGAATGAGCAAGGTGCGAGAAGAGGCGAATGAGCAAGGTGCGAGAAGAGGCGAATGAGCAAGGTGCGAGAAGAGGCGAATGAGCAAGGTGCGAGAAGAGGCGAATGAGCAAGGTGCGAGAAGAGGCGAATGAGCAAGGTGCGAGAAGAGGCGAATGAGCAAGGTGCGAGAAGAGGCGAATGAGCAAGGTGCGAGAAGAGGCGAATGAGCCAGGTGCGAGAAGAGGCGAATGAGCAAGGTGCGAGAAGAGGCGAATGAGCCAGGGAAGCATGTGCCTAGTTGTGTGTGTGGGGGGGGGGGGGGGGGGGGGGGGGGGAGGCGCGATAGAAGTCTAGTTTTGTGTGGGGGGGGGGGGAGGCGCCTCAAAACTAGGCGAATGAGCACGGGAAGCATGTGCCTATTTGTGTGTGTGTGGGGGGGGAGGCGCATGTGTGTGTGTGTTTGTGTATGTGCGTGCGCGTGCGCGTGTGTGTGTGGATGTGCGTGTGGGTGTGTGTGCGCACGGGCGCGTGTGTGTGTGTGTGTGCTTGCATACCTGGCTCTATCCCGCAGAGTAATGTCGGAGTGATGGAGAGTGAGATACGAGAAGAGCTCGGTGAGCGAGTCAAACACCACGGATAACGCATGGCGGGTCAGAACAGTGCTGCAGGGGGGAGAGGCAGCGACGCGAGTCAAGCACGGAGTTGGCGTATGGTGTAATGAAGCCCTTCAACAGAGCCGGGGTGACTTTTGAGTCGACTCAAAAGTCACCTCATATGGTGCAAGTAAGCCCTTCAAAAGAGCTGAGTGAGCGATTCAAATGCAACCGATAAGGCATGGCTGGACAGAACTGTGCTGCGGAGAGGAGAGGGGGGGAGAGAGGGCGGAGGGAAGGAGAAAAAGAAAAGGGGGGGGGGGGGGGGGGGGGGGGGGGGGGGGTGGCTGTTTCTTGAGTCAATTATAGAAGAGCCGGGTCAACGAGTCCAAAGCCACCGATAAGGCATGGCTGGTCAGGGCACGCTGGTAAAGGGAGGGGAGAGGAGGGGAGCGAGAAGCAAGGACGGAGCAAGGAGACGAGGGAATAGCTTCTGAGTCAACTGAGCAAGTCAACGAGTCAAAGGCCACCGATAAGGCATGGCTGGTCAGGGCAGTGCTGCAGGGGTGGCCAGAGAAGGAGGGGCGGAGGATTGCGAAAAAGGGAAGGGGGTGGGAGGAGTTTGCGTCAAGGTGACTTTTGAGTCGAATCAAAAGTGAGTCGACTCAAAAGTGAGTCGACTCAAAAGACACCTGATTAAAAAAGAGGTCAGTGAATCCATTGCCACTGATAAGGCACGGCTGAACAGAACAGTGCTGGTGAAGGGTCTGCTTTTGAGTCGACTCAAAAGCAGAATCAATTGCCACTGATAAGGCACGGCTGAACAGAACAGTGCTGGTGAAGGGTCTGCTTTTGAGTCGACTCAAAAGCAGAATCAATTGCCACTGATAAGGCACGGCTGAACAGAACAGTGCTGGTGAAGGGTCTGCTTTTGAGTCGACTCAAAAGCAGAATCAATTGCCACTGATAAGGCACGGCTGAACAGAACAGTGCTGGTGAAGGGTCTGCTTTTGAGTCGACTCAAAAGCAGAATCAATTGCCACTGATAAGGCATGGCTTGACAGAACAGTGCTGGTGAAGGGTCTGCTTTTGAGTCGACTCAAAAGCAGAATCAATTGCCACTGATAAGGCACGGCTGAACAGAACAGTGCTGGTGAAGGGTCTGCTTTTGAGTCGACTCAAAAGCAGAATCAATTGCCACTGATAAGGCACGGCTGAACAGAACAGTGCTGGTGAAGGGAGCGAGGCAAGGGCGCAGGTCGGTGGGTCGGTGGGTGGGTGGGTGGGGGTGGGGTGGGTGGGGGGTTCTTATGCAATTTTCAAAATGCGGGTCAATGAGTCAAACGCCAGGGATAAGGCATGGCTGGTCAGAGCAGTGCTGGTTAAGGGAGGAGAAGAGAGAGACACGCGTGTTTGTGGTACTTAGAGAGAGTAGCTTGCCCCTATGGCTCACCGGCATATGGAGAGTACTTGTGCAGTGTCTTCCCAAGATGCCTCCTCACCCGCAGCAGCAGCACCAGCAGCAGCACCGGCAGCAGCAGCAGCACCACCAATATAAGACCATCTTGCCATTCCAGAGCCATCCCTCCTTCCCTCCTCCCCTTCCCTCACCTCTCCCTTTCCCCCCTTCCCTCCCCTCCTCACATCTCCCTTTCCCCCTTCCCCCCCTTCCCTCCTCTCTCCCCCCTCTCCTTCTCATTCCGCAGGAATCCCAGCAGGAGGTCCACGATCGGGCCAGGTGGCACGTCGGGATTGGCCGAGAGTGCGTGCAGCAGGGGGAAGAAGCGGGGCACGGAGGAGAGGGAGAGGGGGGCCAGGAGAGGCTGGGCCGTCAGATAGCCTGCTGACCTGGCAGATCGTGCGGTGGAGGTGAAAGGAGCAGGGAGAGGCGGGAGAGGAAGCGGATGAGGAGGAGGAGGAGGAGGAGGAGGAGGAGGAGGATGAAGGCCTATAGAAGCCGTACTGAGGCGCAGAGAACACGGTTGGCTTGTGGACGTGATTGTAGACGATGGGACAGTGGCGGATGGTTGACTTAACAGAGGGATGAGCTGGGAGAAGAGAGCGCGGTGGAGGGAGCGCGCAAGGGGGTGGTGGTGCGGGCAGTGCGCAAGGCAGGAGAGGAAGAAGAGCACGCTGGGGATGTGCTCGGGCATGGCTGTCAGCGTGCCCAGCAGAAAGGCTTGCACTGATGCGAGGATGGAGGGGGGAGGGGCGGGAGCGGTGAGACCTGGTGCGAAGAGAAGGTGGGGTTTGGCGGGGGGTTCTGATGCACCTATGTCGATGGTCAACTGGTGGGTGTACCGCTGGGGGGGCGAAAGAGAGTGGGAAGAAAGAGGGGGAGAAATGATGGACAGGAGGGAAGGGGGAGAGGGGAAAGGGGAGGTGTGGCGGGCGAGTGAGAGGAGGGGGAGGGGCGTGGCAGTGAGGAAGCAGCGGAGGGTGCGAAAGGCGAGTAGGGCTTCAAGAGAGGAGGGAGGGAGGTGGTAGAAGAGAGAGAGGGAGGCAAGAGACTCATGCAACAGCTGCTGCTGCAGCAGACTAGCAGAGACAACCTCGTTGGCAGCAGCAGCAGCGGCAGCAACTGCTGCTGATTGGCTCGCAGTGGCATCTGATGTGGCAGAGTCTGATCCGACAGATGCTGATGTGGCAGGTGCTGACGTGGCGGCATCTAGGGCTTCATCAAGCGCGGTGCAGAGAGCGGCAGCGGCGATGCGGGCAAAGGTCTGCGCCTTGGCGGCCTTGAGGGCGAGCGGGTCGAAGAGACGGATGGAGAGAGCCGCTGCTAGGTGCGCTGGAAGCAGGATGGGGCTCCGCCTGGGGGTATCACCGGGCTGTGAGTGTGCCTGCTGCACCAGCTGCTGCTGCTGGTGGGAACCACCAAAGCCACCAGCACCACCAGCACCGGCACCGGCATCCATCATGGCATCCGCACCAGCAGCACCCACACTGTCCCCCCTCGCTGCTCTGCCATCCACTTCCAGGGCCAGCAGCCACCTCATCGCCAGCTGGCGCACCACGATTGGCTGCCAGGGCTCGTGGACCAACCGGGCCACACGCAGCACCACAGCACGCTTGGTGTGCGCCGGGAGGAGATCCGGTAGGGGTGCTGGTGCAGCGTGACGTGATGCAGTAATTGGAGTGGCGGGTCGGGCAGAAGGGATAGTGGCAGTGGACGAGGAGAGGGAGGAGGAGCGCGGGATAGAGGCATGGGGTTGGTGGGAGGACCCAAGAGACTCGAACGAGCCATGGGAATGGGACGACCCATGGGACTGGAAAGATCCATGAGGTTGGAAAGATCCATGAGGCTGGTTGAAGCTGTGGGAGTGGGTGAGGCTCGGGGTGCGGCTGTGCGTCGGGGTGCAGGCGGGGGAGGAGCGAGAGGAAGAGGAGGGGGAGGGGGAGGGGGAGGGGGAGGGGGATGGCGAGGCGGGGCGGGATAGGGGTGATGGTGGCGGGGGCGGGAGAGGTGGGGGGAGGGCGGCGATAGGATATGTT